TTTGGGGGGCAGGGGGCAGTTTCCAAACACACCCTGTTTAACCCCGTCAAGGGACACCCCCGGGCAGTGGTGCCAACATCCCACCACCGGCAGGCCCTCCGCCTCCTGGACTGGCACCGTTGGCTCCCGTTGACCCTTCGAGGCCCGTTGCCCCTGGTCTGGTAACGGCGCCGATCACCTCCAGCCAATCCATGGTTCCTCCCACGCCAGACACTGCCTTTTCCAGTCAACTCCGGGTAAGGGTCAACTACGATACCGGCAACTACTTTACTCTTATCGTTCACTTTGACAAGCTCAACTACGTGAACCTGATTGACCGCATCGATCACCGGCTCAGCAAGTTCACCAACAGCAGCATCTCTAAGGGAGAGCTGAGGTTGCGATATCGGGATGAAGATGGCGACTTTGTGACCATTGAAAGCGATGAGGACATCCAAATCGCCATTTCCGAGTGGCAAGAGGGCATGCGCGGTTCTCAAGGCATGGATGAGATTGAACTTTTCTGTGTCGGTGAGATGTAAACCACCAGTCAAACTATTCTCTTCTCCTTTGCCTGACACGCACAAGGATGGAGCAATTCGCTCTTAACCACTCTCTCACGCAGCTTACCACACTATACATCTCGACCTGGGACGACACCCATACACAGTGCCTTCCTAGGGCTCTTTCCTTTGTCCCGTTCTCAAAGCACGCACATCGCATTATCTCATACCCTCCTTCCTATCATCAGTCTTTTTTTGTTTTCTTCGTTTTATTCCAATCTTTGCGCGGGATTTTCATCAAACTCATAGAGGAGCGATCGGTTGAATATTTTTTTATGTCTGGTTGCTTTTTTGAATGGGGTTGGAGACGGAGAAGAGGAGAGGAGCGTGGTTACAGCAAGAGGGGGAGGAGGATGAACACTTCAGCGTCGACAGTATACCACATCACCAGCAACGCCAGCACACCACATCACAACACCAAGACACTGCTGCTTGACGGCCGACAGGATCATCATTCCACCGCAGCACCACAGCCAAAACCATGGCACAGCTTACCTTGACAACACCAACGAAGATGGACACCATAACACCACATTATCAACACAAACCACATCCCATACTGTGTCATTCTTTTTCAGGAGGAGACCTTTGCTGAGGTGGAGCGTGTTCGAGGCTTTTTGGGAGGGGGGCTTGGTTTAGCTGAGGGGGTTTCTCCTTGTTTTTATTTTCTTGGAGATCCAAAACAGACGTTCATTTTTTTTTCTTTTCGTTTTCTTTATCTTTATTTGTGGGGTTAGGGAGGTATGGTTGACGCGGTGGCTATGGTTATTTGTTGTGGTAGTTGAGAAGTTATAAGTGATGATGAGGTAATATTAAGGGGGGAGGAACAGTGGAGGGTGTTGGGAGGGGTGTTGATGATGATGATGTTGTTGTCATTGTTGAATGTCGCTAGACTCTTTTCTTTTGGTCTTTTTTTTTATATCTTGCGTTCGTACTTTGTTCGTACCATGAATACCCAGTTATTTTTTGTTGTTTTTTGCAGCGTTGGTTTTGCTGTGGTGTGTTGTTGGGGGCTGAAGACGCTTCTTATGTAATCATGATGATGTGAGGATGATGATGTATGAGTGGATGGGTGACACTCCTTTGCGGAAGCGTGTTTGGTGGGGAGCGGGGGGGTATTGACACTCATTTTTACCTTGATTCTGGGGGGGGAATATTTCTGTGGTAGTTTGTAGTGTTGTTCTTTTGGAGATGGGTACCTATTGGAATTTTGGAAGACGTTGGTTTGATCGAGGGGTACCTACCTAGATATACAATTTTGTCAGTCTTGATATATACAGATGATAAAGGTTTTGATTTGGGTTGTGCTATCTAGGTGTTACACATGCTTGTGATTTATCAGCGTGAAGTCTGTACCGGGTTTTACTTGGAATGGCAAGTTGGTATTCCCTGTGAGTTGGGGGTTATGAGTCTTTGATGGGGAATGTTTTAGGATGAGAGTAAGGTAAATCAAGGTTTTTGTGGAAGCGGAATTGGTTCGGTAGGATACGTGTGTTTTTCATTTCTTACAACACAGACTTTGGTCGGTAAGCATTTGCCTCCTTTTTTCCAGGGTTCGACATTCGTTTACTCTGATGGCTGTGTTATTCAGGTTGTTCCACTTGTTATTTTGAAGACGACGCAGATAGCCATGGCATAGCTCTTTGGCTTTGGGATTTGAGATTTCTCCGGCAGCCCTCAGAATGTTATTCGCACTTTTCTGGTGGAGAGTGAGCTTTGGATAGATGCTACTAGAGCTGTCGGATGGTCAAGTGCTGGACCAAGGCTAACTGGCCGTCTCAACAAGTCTGTCCGTGGTGGTGTAGGGTATTTACGTATATTTTTCATATTGTACATTTTATATACAAGCCCATCATCTTCATGACGGCGGGTATTTGTCAAAGCCTGTTACAGCCAAAAAAGCACTAACGCCGCTCCCCAATGCAATTTGCTCGGCCCGTTTTGTTTATACCAACGTTCCCCTGCTCCGCTGCCCAGCTCCGTAAGTCGTGGCTTCCGTCATGCGCTTCCTCCACGTCGAGATGGCCGTCCATTTCCCGGCGCAACACAGGCTCTCCCTTTCACCAGAAACCCCTCGTACGGCTGTCAACACCCAGGGCTTCGCCGTTGTTCCACGGCGTGTTGTTCAAGGAGGTGGCAATCAATCCCGTCTAGTTCATCCTCATCTCCTTCTCCCTGTTCCTTCCTTTTTCATAACAACCCGTTTATTTGTTCTTGGACGCTTGCTTGATAAGCTTCGAGGACAGTCTCTGGAGATGGTAGTTGATGGTGTTGCTTGGCTTCGGAGGGGGCTTGGGAGCGTCCATGCAGGCGCGGAGGGCGTCTTCGACTGTGTTGCATGCTCTGCCAGTGTGGCCAGCGGAAGCCCAGCACGCTGTTTCTGAGTTAGCTCCTGTGGACCTTGTCGGAAAACAGAGCAGACCTACCGAGGACAGAGGACATGATGGTGAGGCAGGGGTTTTGCTCGCGCTTGTTTGGGTTGCGGACCCGAAGCCTCGGGAGGGGGGGAAGACGGATTGGGTTCTTGGACATGGTTATGATTGCTGTCACTCGGGATTAGAGGGGCGGGACGAAATGGCGTGTTATGGCAACAGCAATTGCGTCGCAAGGTGAGGTGGGCTGTCGTCGGCTTCAAGGTTCCTCGAAATGTTGCGCCGATTAGGACCCACCATTATTGAACGATACAGAGAGATTAGGAGCTCACGTGCTGATAAGACCGAAATGTGCAAGGATGGAAGGCGGTGTGGAGCGTGGGGTGTTGAGCACTCGGAGCGCTAGGACCATCTGGGAAGTCTTCCAAGAGAGCGGTGCTCGATGATTGGCTGGAAATTCAAGATGTAAACAAATGCCCGTTTCCTTCAAAGTTCAAACCCATGTCCACTTTGAAATTCATTGGGAACCGGGGGATCAACCGACACGCGCTGGCGAGCTTCGCGGTTTCTTTTCTGCAGCTTTCACCACAACGCGTCATTGGTGCTCGAGCGACACTTATTTACGACATGAAGCAGCAGTAGCAGGCATTGAATCATCACTTTTCGTCCTGTTTTAACTTTGCATTTGCGCGCCAAAAGAATAACCTTCAGTTTTTCACGAGATCCACCACAGCGACTTTGGGTTCAAGATGCTCGGTTTCGCAGGTGGCTTGGAACGGGCCGCCGCCGCCGCGCAAACTGATGATGTCTTGCATTTTACAGAGCAGTATGTCTTTCGACTTTTCTCCTTTGGAGTTTTGGGGAACATTCCAGCTGACAGTGTGTTTACGTTCCAGACCCCGAGTCACAGCCAATGCCTTCCTCCCACCAAGGATTCCAGCCCCAAAACCATGGCAGCGCGTTGCGGTCGACCCCGCGGCAGGCCATAGACAGCGAAAGATTTGGAAACGCGTCCCCGGTTCGAGTGGGTCGAATCCTGCGCGCGATGCCTATCTACGCGACATGGCCGAGCTTGAGGATGCGCGGGGCCAGAACCCGCGAAAGCGCGTGAGGGGGAGTGCTCATGTTCCGGTCTACGGTGATGCGAAATGGACCAACCGGCCGAGGAACGCACGCCTTATTGGAAGTGTGGACTTGGGCGAGGCGAGAGGTACGCTCATCTTGCATCGTGTTGTGCTTGAGGGGAGGGACTAACATTGTCGACAGCGTTCGTGAACAAAGTTAACGAGGAAGCCAAGAACTTGGAGACGAGCTTCACCACCAAGGACGCGACATTCCCGGATAACCAACTGAGCTGGGTACCAAGAAAGCGACATAACTCCCGTTGGCCAATTCCACCAAACATGGACCGGACTACCGACTTCGAGATACCATCTGCTCCTCAGGCCGCCGAGCCAACGATCCAGATCGACGACAAGGCTTCACTGAACAGATCAACGCGCAGACTCAGTAGACGCTTTACTCTCCTTCCAGACGGAGACGAATCACCAAGGAAATTGCTGATGCCTAGGCTCTCCCCCACCAAGAAACCGGTGTCTGCCCTGTCGCCTGTCAAGAAGGTGCCCGCAATTACGATGTTGTCGCCCATCAAGGTGTCCGACTCACCGCTCAGGGCCTTCAGAATCCACGCAACTCCAACAAAGGTGGTGTTGGAATCGCCCAAGATGAGCCCGCCAGAGAAATCCCCCTCGAAACCCTCACCTGCTACCTCGACCCCTGGAGCGATGCTGCCACCAGCAACAACGACCCCAAGAGCCATTGCTTCACAGCTGCAACATACCGACAGTCCTGTTCCCCTCATCTTTGACCAACCGACATCAGATAGCGTTGCGGAACCTCAACACGAAGCTCGTCGACGCATTTCTCTTGCAGCTGCTCGTAGAACTGAACGCAAATCTCTTGGCATCTCCCGTCTGGACGCTGTGCGCAATAGTCCAAATCGACGACATAGCTTCAACAACCTTGACGCCTTGATTGCCGAAGGAATGGATAGTGGTAAGGGGCGCCGCAGTACGCTAGGCGGAGGGTTTCTGTCTTCGAAGGAGGATGTTATCGAGATTGATGCCAAGACCAACTTGGACATTTTTGGTCAACCATCCAAGGCTGTTGCCTCGACCCCCAGGCGATTCGCCTTTGGTGTCGATAAACTCGATGAAACTCCTCAACCATCTGCACCTCTGGATGGTTTCTTCAGTCCTCTTATGACTGACATCTCAGGCATGACAGAAAGCGCACCAGCCAAGGATGCCAGCCCGCAGCAACAGCCAGAACAGGCAGCAGCTAGCCCTGCTCCATGTGCGACCGATGCAGGGGACGAGCCATCAGTTCTCGAGGATTCTACCCCGCTCCCGGCCTCTATCGAAGAGTCACCGGTCGAGGAACACCAGCCAGCCGAGGTTGAAAAGTCGCCAGCCCCTGAGGAGCAACCCACGGAGGTGGAAGAGGTGTCCGCGCTTGTCGAGGAAGAGCAAGTCGCAGAGATCGAGGAGTCACCGGTTTATGAACACCAGGCTGCCGAAGGCGACATTTCTTTCACCCCTTACGAACCCGAAGGTCTGTCAACCATTTACGAGGAGTCCACTATCATTGAGTCTCCGAGGAAATCTCCCAGAAAATCCCCCGTCAAGGCCGTTTCTGCTGTCGAGGTCCAAGACACATCCATGGTCATCGAAGAACATGAGGCCATCTCTTTCATCGAGCCAGGCGTTGTTCTCAAGGCTACTGAGGAATCTTCCATTGAGAAGAACGACATGCCTGCCGCTCCCTCAACCCCTCGCAGCACCAGGGTGGCCCCTGGTAGTCCCTCAACGCCTCTCCAGAACCACGATCTTGATGCTGTTCTCCAGTTGAGCATCAAGCGAAGTATCAAGCGCAGCGCCAGAAAAGACGAGGTTCCCCGTTTCAACCAGTTGGATGGTTCACCTTCCATACCAGGCGCCCATGAGGATAGCTTTGCCTCGATGGATGATACATGCGAGCTCTCCGACCTCAGCATTTGCAGTGTCGACATCTCTACCGAACATCTCGTCACCACCACGACTACCTCGCCCCCAATTGCCTCGCCACAACAGCAGCCTACCGATTCGCCTGTTGCCAGTCCCTCTCAACCAGAGACCGAGGCCAATGCGAAGGATGAAGAGGTATCCTTGCCAGAGACCGCCCCTTTTCCTGTGGCCCTCTCATTTGAGAGCGATGCGGACACGGTTGTCGACCCTGTCGCTGAAGATACCGTAGACGAGAAGGAACCCGTTGAGGTTGAGAAGACAAGCTCTCCCACTCCCGAATGCGATGCTCCCTTGTCTCGCCAGGTAGCCGAGGACGAGGCTATTGTATCCCAGGCCAAAGTCTTGGCGCCTGGCACACCCCCTCAGGCCACGCCCATCGCACAAAGCGAGGAGACAGGGAAGGTCTCAACACCCGAACAAAGGACTGAAGACAATGTCGACGCATCTGAGGCCTCAGGTTTTACGCCAATTCATGGCCGTCAATCCTCGCCAACTGAGCTTGTGCAACCTGCTGTGACAACACTTGCTGATGAACTCGAGGCTGAGTCGGACGACCTGGATGAAGATGAAGTAGTCGAACAAGATGTAGTTGATGAAGCATGCGATGAGCTTACCATGGCAGTGGATGACGATTTCACCTCGGTGCCGCCCCCTCAACCAGAGAACGATACGATTCAATTGCAGGCGAGGCACGACGACTCGGAGGCGGAATTGCTGCGGAAGTTTGTGACGCGGGTGACTGCTGATAAGAACGCAAAGGCCGCCGCCGCTGCCGCTGCAGCAGCCTCGATAGCGCAAAACTCCCGTCTCAAGCGTCGGTCTGGGTCAATGAGCACCATCACCTCCTCTACCGGTTCGCCCATGCTCAATGCAGAGGCCGATGCGCCCGCGGATAGGAAGCCCTTGGGTGAGAAGAGCCCCAACAGCCCCAGCCCTGTTAAGAAGAGAAAGCTCGAAGATTTGAAGGACAGCCAAGCTAAGGATATGGTCGTCCCGCAAGATGCCCCGGATAGTCCCAGTCAGGCGCCTCCTCCCAAGCGCCGGCGCAAGCGCGTCCTCGGTTCCTCGGAAAACACCCTCGACAGAAGCACTCCCGTTGCTCCCCCACCACCGGATGATGAAGCTCCCCGGAGGTCTACCCGTGCCCGGAGCACTCGAACTCTCCGGCCCACAGCACCTTCGGCAAACTCGATTGCTTTGTCGTTGATTCCGGTGCGGCTGCCTGGAATGGGAGCCATGGATGACAGCACCATGGATACCACCCTTAACATGGCCAGGCAGCGCAACGAGGAGAAGGACTTGGCTACCATGACGAGGGTCAACACTCGCAAGAACAAGGGCCAAGCTGTCCACCCTGCTGTGATTCTGGCGAGGCATGCTGAGGACTCTTCGTGGAAAGTCAACGAGGCCAAGGCCGAGCCCAAGGAGCCGCGCACCAACCCAGATCGGACGGTCAAGAACGTCAGGTGGGCTGAGGAACTGGCTAGTTACCAGGGCGAGTCCCCAGTCCTACCGGCTGCCGACGCGAACGATGTCAAGGATGTTCCTGTCGTCAAGACCACCACAACGACCAACTTCATGATGTCACGGGCCATGGAGGATGATGATGATATGGATGAGCTCGCTATTCCTACCATCACCGAGGTGCCGCTTCCTCCTACTGTATCAAAGGCTGCGTCAGTGGCAGAGAACAAGCCTGAGCCTCCGAAAACCAGGACAAGGAAGGTTGTTGCCGCTACGGCATCCACATCAACTGCTGCTGTTCCCAAGGCTGCTGCTCCCAAGGCTGCTGCTCCTAAGTCTGTTGCCACTAAGGTTGATGCCCCTAAGACTGCTGCTGCTAAGGCTGCCGCGCCTGTCGCTGCCGCCTCCACAAGACGCAGCACTAGATCTACCAGACTGCAGACGCCGACTCCTATGAAGAAGGTTGTCTCTGCTGAGAGCACCACGGCTCCCAAGCGGGCTATCCCTTCAAGGGCGAAGACTGCTTTGCCCAAGCCTGCTGCTTCGACAGCTGCTACCAAGGCCACTGCGGCCGCGCCTGCCGAGCCTGCCACTGCTTCGGCTTCGGGCATCAAGAAGGCCGCTGGGAGGCCGACGAGACGGACTGACGTTGCCAAGTTGGGGATGACCACTGTTAACGGGACGCCTGCCCCCAAGAGGAGGGGGAGACCTGCGGCTTCTTCATCTTGAGTTGGTTTTACTAGCATTTGGATTCAGTTTGGCATGGGTTGGGATTGATGATGGATGACACTGCATAGATGGGATGGATGAATGGTTGGGATTGTTGATGGATATAGGCATTGTTGTCTTGTTGTGGTTACTTGCTTATCCTCTTTTTCTTCCTCGGGAAAGCGAATACCCCGTTGTTTGGCTTGGTTTGGTGTGGCCTGTCTAGGAGATACCTTTGTTGGGTTAGGGAGGGTGGTATTATATTTGGGATTATGTAGGTATATTGTGCATTGAGATGGATGGTATGTGGGATGGTGGATAGGTATGTTATGGATTACAATTGAGGAGTATTTGTGATTGTTTGTGTTTTTCTCGATTTGGTCTTCCAAGGTTTCCTGATCTTTTGTGTTTACGCAGCACCACGCCTCGTTTTGTCCGAATAGCTTGAAGCATGCAAGGAGGGAACATTTGTGTTTACTTGCCCCTGAACAAGTTGTCTCTCACGGTCAATATCTCCGAGAGCTCGCTCAGTCAGCAACAGGGAGAAATGCTTCTCTTTTTCGCTTCTGCACGGCACAGACCATCAACACCAGCAGGCTGTACAATGCTCGTTTTAGGATGCGCTATCGACTTTCTACGGGGCGGCTCAGCTGTTTATGCCAGGGGGTCCCCAGTCTTTTGGTTGGCTGGAAGGGCCTGGATTGGCATCCAGCAAAGAGCCATCACCGATCAGCATTGAATACGCGGAGAGTATCCAAAATAATTTCCCGCGACATGGTCCAGGCAGATCTTTCTATCGTTGGGGTTTAAGGATGGGAAAAACAACGACGAGCTGGTCGTCTGACCTCTGTCTTCCTTACTCCTCTTCAAGGACCGAATTTCGTTGATATTTTTTCCCTTCCAGCTCAGGCATCGTTACACTCTTTTTGCTTTACTCAAGATGCCTGTCGCAACAGTCTCCATTAACCCCTTTAATCCGGCATGCTTAGATACAAGCTGTCTGAACCAGGTTGTTGGCCTCTCTGGCAATGACGCGGCCGTGCAGTTCTCGTCTTGTGTGGCCCAGTTCGGGTCGCCTGTCGTGTCGACTGTGTAGGTTCATGTTTTATATATAGCGGGTTTGGTGCAGTTGCTGAGCTCAATTTAAACAGAACGCCCACCGAGACGGTCTTTGCCACTGCTACCACGACTGTTGAATACATCGATGTCATCGTGTCGTTTACCACCGCCACGTCAACGTTAGAGGAGACCTTGACCTCGTATGATAGTCTTGTCCAGACGGCAACCGAGTACACCACTACAAATGTCGTTACCGTTTCGACCACCGTCACTGCCAGCCCTGCCCCACCCGTTGGCAAGAAAATGCGCAAACGCAGGGGGTGCACGAGAAAGTCGTCGTCGTCAACTGTGAGCCAAGTCGAGACCGTCACGACGACTGAGCCGTCAACTACCGAGACTGAGACCATCATCTCGACATTGCTGGCGGCTTCCGTCTCCTCAGACGAAGCCGAATACTCCTCCGCCTGCTCCTGCATCGGCGCCGTAGGCGACATCACCGAGACGGTCACCGCCACCGCCGACATCTCCACCTCGACCCTCTACGAAACAGTCAGCAGCGCCACCCCCTCCGTTTCGGAATCAGTGATCAACGTCGTCGTCACCACCGTGCTCGTCAAGCCCGCAACCGTAACCACCACCACAACCGTCAGCACCAACCTCCAAACCACAACAACAGTAACAAACATCATCCAGCCAACCCAGCAGAGCAAGCTCGTCCTGAACAACGGCCCCCGTCAGGGGAGATACCTCACCATCGTCAATGGCTATTTGCAGTACGACATCAACAATGTTGGCGCGGCAGTGGCGGCGGACTTTGGGTTTACGTCCAGCGGACAGCCTTGGTTGGTTTCCAACCCGGATATTAAGCTGTATTCCACCCAGACCAGCGCGCAGGTTGGCGTGTTGTATATGGAGACGGACGCGCAGGCTGCGAGTAAGGGGGATCCGATTGTGACGTGCAATGTGGATGGGAATGGGATCATGAGCTGCGGGATTCCTGAGAGGGGGTTTGGGGTGGTTTTTAGCTGTGGTGCTTATTTGTATGTTGCTAGACCGACTTGGTCGCAGTCGGGGTGTACGGCGGTTACATTTAGGATTGTATAAGATGGGATTGTGTGGTGGGGGTTTATATAGGTGGGTGTAGTCGTGTGCTGGATAATGGAGCGTGGTTTCCACCAAAGGTTGTTCGCAAAAGGAGGTGTGCTGAGTGCCTTATACCCCTTAAGCATTATCCGACCTCCACCACCCACAAAATGCGCTTTCCGTTCAACTATTCCGCCTCCTACGCCTCCTCAGACAAGGAACCCTAACCTGGGTATCACCCCATAACACATATAAGATAAGTTGCTGGAGTTGAGTCGGGAAGGTGCGACTTGGGTTTGTGTGTATCAAGAGTTACCGTTTGGAAGTCAGGATTTGGCGTGGACCAATCATGAAGATGGTATCGTTCATCATCATGAGTCCCAATCAAGGCTTGAGATGCACGAACACGACACAGGCCACCTGAGCCACACAGGGTGAGATAAGCGTACCGAAGAGCGCCTATCTCGTATTCAACTTTTAGCACTTTTCATTGTTGAGCTTTTCCAGTGTTTGTTGTGGTGCGTGGCGGCCACCGGCCAACTCAAAAAGCCCATTTAAGCCCCGGTTCAGTCATCAGTCATCAAACACATTGAGGCCTGCAGCATCTACCCGTTTCTCCAATGAAGATTCGTTAGACATGCAGACATTCCGTTTGCTGTTCGCCCAATTTTCCCCACACACACTTATGACGGCCAAATGAAAAGGTGAAAACTCTTCCTTGACAAGTTGACCTCATCCTCTTCTTGGAGATCCCCACGCCGCGACCCCGTTCTTGCCGACAACCATAACACACTACCGACCTTTGGCGTAATGGATCTGTCTGGTCTCGACCCTGAGACCTTGCGTCTCATGGTGCAGATGCAACTCGACGACCTTCATGCTCTTGGAGAAACGGCCAGCCAAAAAGGCAAGGGCCACGCGGGAGAAAAACCCGACTTCGCCCTCGCCATCGAAGGATACCGCGATGAATTACTGCGCACTTCCCAGCTCCTAGCCGACGAAGCCATAAGCAAGAGCATTACGCAAGCAGTGAGACAAGACGCCGCTGTGATCCGAGCTCTGGAAGCAGAAGAGCAGCGAGCCGCCAGTGACAGGGAGATGGCATTTCAGTTGTCTGGAATGAAAAATCCGTACAGCAGCACAATTCCACGGCCAGCAACGCCTGCCCTCGACGGCGAAACGCTTGGAAGGCTGGAACAGCTTTGGATATCTCCGGATCGTGCTGGCACGAGTGGACATGCGGAATCATCTGCCTGGGCTTCGAGCAGGAAACAGGAAGTGTCAGGAGAGAACAACAAGAAGAAGGAATGTGTTGCGTGCAATGACGCCTTCTTCTCCTTCGACATGGTTAACAGCAACGGGTGCGGACACGATTACTGCCGCGGTTGTATAAAGACCCTATTTCAGTCTTCAATTTTGGACGAGTCGCTCTTTCCGCCTCGCTGCTGCGGAAATCAACTCCTTCTGGACAGCTGCCGACACCTCCTCCCGTCAGCGCTCGTTGGACAGTTTCGGACCAAGAAGATTGAGCTCGAGACGCCAAACCGAACTTACTGTCACCTACCAACCTGCTCAACCTTTGTCCCACCGCAGGCTATCAAGGGAAACATTGCAACATGCCAACGGTGCAGCGCCAGAACCTGTGGCGTGTGCAAGAGGGCGGCTCATGCAAACAGTGACTGCCCAGAGGACCCTGCCACGCAAGAGCTCATCAGTCTCGCGGCGGCTGAGGGATGGCAGAAATGTCGGTCTTGCTTGAGATTTGTCGAGCTCGGTCACGGATGCTACCACATTAGTGAGTTTTTCTCCCAAAATTGGATTCCTGTAGTCTTTCGTGAGGGACTTGAACTGACTGCGACTTTGATATTCCAAAGCTTGCCGCTGCGGTGCGCAGTTTTGCTACGTTTGCGGAGAGCCCTGGAAAAACTGCAGTTGTCCTCAGTGGGAGGAAAACCGCCTCCTTGATCGGGCAAACGTTATTGTGGGTCGCAACGCCGGAGCCGCCCGGCTTCCAGACTGGCAGCGAGCCAACCTAGTCGAGCAAGAGAGGCAGAACCAGATTATCAACCACGAGTGTCGACACGAGAGATGGAAGTCACGCCGAGGCCCTCAGGAGTGCGACGAGTGCCACGATGAGCTTCCGGATTTCATCTATGAGTGTCGGCAGTGCAGGATCATGGCTTGCCGACGATGCCGGTTCAATCGTTTGTGAGAGGTCAAGGCGAGAGTCTAGACTTTGCTGTAGGGTCGGATGGGCAAGTAGAACCAATGTGCAGGCCCTTGTCGAGTTCATGAAGCATCCTTCAAACACCATTTCACAAAGGCCACCTGAATCAAGACCTTCAATCTCAATTCTACTGTGTGAACACAGTGTTTAACAGCCGTACAGGTGATTATTGCGGGAGGCCAAGATTGACGGGCCCATCAAAATTCTTGCTGGTATTGTTGGAGCGAAAGCTCCGTAAAGTCATGGTGAAAAGCATGGCTGGAGGTTACTCCACTTACTGTAACTAAATGCTCGTAATGTAGGATCCTTAGCAACTAAGAGTTCTGTGGATGTTCATTGGCCCATTCTTATATTTAGAGTATTTCCTCCTTTCTCGGAGATATAGGTGGAGGACCACGAGGGCAGGAGCGAAGCCCCTGCCTTCTGTGGGCAACCACAGTCAAGGTATCTTGTATTTAAACTAATGTCGAGACAGACCAGTGAATCGCTGGGGGGGAAATGAAAATAGCACTCAATCACCAACGTGACAGGTAGAAAGATTAGGCATATAAAGATTGACATTGCTATAGACGGAGCAAAAGCTACCTAGCGGACGAGTATGGGCGCGGGAACAACCCTTAACAAAGCCACGAGCAGAGGCGTTGAATAGGGGTAGAGGCAAATGTGATGACACCAGAACGTCCTTATATCCTGTGAACCGAGCCAAAGAAAACAACCATGAACCTAAGAGCAAACTAAACGAGCGAACGAAGAAAAGATCCTTCATGACAAACACAGGTGGACCAAAACTTCGAGGTTTCGTTTCGAGCGGATGAGTACCACATTGGCCTAGGCCCCACGGCCGCAAATTTGGCATTGACGGTCTCGTAACCGGTCTGAGCCCCGGTGTTTCCTTGTGGCCATCTCACCCGCCACCCCGACTTATACCGACCACAGATTGAAGTAATGTGGGCGTAATCCCTGGTGAGGTCGTCTCGGGTGCAGAGCCAAGCATTGCTGCCGTAGTTGCAGATGTAGGCGACTGTTGATCCAGACTTGGAGTAGAAGTTCAGGCCGCTGTTGAAGGCGCCCGGCTTGCACTGATCTTTGAGAGCCCCCACGGCTTTGTCGGTCGAGCCGGGGTCCAGGATCTGCTGGGAGCTTCCGCAGAAGGTGGCGTCCGACTGGCGAGAGACGATGCGGGACGGAGGTTTGGTGAGCTCCTCGTGTGCGTTGCGAGCGGTGAGTTGGGCAAACTCTTCCTCGCTCAGGGCTCGAGCGAGAAGGGTGTGGGTCTCGGTGCCGTTTTCGGCGCAGCTGACGCCGTAGACACCGTCCGGCTGATCGCTAGGGACGGTGAAGCCAGACACCATGGCGGCGAAGAGGATGAGATATGTAGAAGGATGTATGGTTTCGGTGAGGAATGAGACCTGGAGAGGATCAGGTTTCTGGGGCGGACGGCGGGAACGCAGCTGAGGAGTTGAAGATGAGCCAAGATGCTTCAGAAGCTTGACTGTTGTTGTTGTGGCTGCTGGAGGTTCTCTGATGGTTTGAGATGGGAAGAGTGGCCCCCTTTCATACTCAATCTCGGAGACATCTCTCGGGTCTGATCAAGTCGCAGGAGTGTCTGCAAGGACGATACCCTTACATCTCACAAACATCTCAGGAACATCCCTCAGGGATTTTCTTCATCTGATTTTACACTGCAAAGACCAACTACCTGTGACCCTGACCAACAACACTACCAACACCACTTACACAAATACCATGCACTTGATGAGAGCTAGGTATATACAAACTCACTAGACAGCCAAAAGTCAGAAGGGTCCCCATCAAGGACCTTGAGGCCACTGAAGATTATTCGCTGTATTGAACTGCTGTTCCAAACCCTGACTTTACAGCCCTTCTCACACTTTAAACTCAGCGTCGAGACACAAGTCCATATATAGCAGGGTACGAGCGTGTCTCCATAAAGAATAAATATAATCCACCGGTTCTTTCAATTTTGGTATTCTCTGCCAATCGCATTTCGGCATGTGTAACACGGCGTGGGATTGGAGCGCAAGTGGGAGAAAGCCACAGTAGCAGTCAAATCTGGCCCCCAACTTTGCTTTCCCGGAGCCGAGTTTAGAGCGTTGTACCTAGCACAAGGACCTGGCGTGTCAGCAATAGGAAAACGATATGAGACATGAGGCGAGCAATACCCAAGGTAGGCAGTTGTATGTCAGCGTCAGGTCACCACTACAACGCCAATATCCATACAAAACTCGTGGCGTGTGCGACTCCAGTTGCCACGGCCTCCGTCTCTGATGGAAGGTGGCCCATGACGACGGGAAATAAGCAGGGAGTTAAAAGTTTAAACCCGTCATACTATCGGAGTTTCTCCTGATGGTATTACAATGCTGTTGGCGGGCTGGAGTTCAATATTCAAGCGCGCTGAACTTGTGTTCGTGCTGATGGTTACACAGGCTTGAACCGGACCATCTTGATGCGAATAAAGGACGGTGTAGATGTGAGGTTCGTGTTATTGGGCCGGCCTTTTGAGATGTGGTGATGATCTCTGCTATATGCAGAGCCAAACACCAACCGAGGAGCGTTGAAGATAGGCTAAACTCGGCGACAGGTTGACGCGACAGGAGCCGCGCCGCACCACCCACTGGGACAGCGGCAATACCCGCCAGATTTGTTTGGAGCTGTTCTACTTTGTTGCACTTCGCTCTGTTTACAAGGCTGCAAGTAAGGAGTCTTACAGTTAAGGATCATGCCAAGTAGGAACCATAGCATACCAGTCATTTCTTTCTATGCCGAAAAGAAAGTCAAACACACAGACTACTGCCTTGACACAATAACAGGGGCAATTGTTCCACAATCAGGCACCAGCCAGCCGGATAACACCTTGCGCTGTAATTCATTCTCATCATATCCGCACCCTCAACTCATACACCTCCTCGTCAACATCACCCTCAACGATCACAGGCTACCTACTGAGTTTTCTCATCCAGCGCGCCTACTTCCAACGAGCTCCTTCAAAATGACAGACGCAACCACCGCAACCTACACCCCCCTCCCAACCCCAACCTCAATCCGCATCCTCGTCCTCGCCCCCGCCCTTCCCTCCTCCCCCGAAATCAACTGCTACCTCCTCCCTTCCGACCTAAACTCCGACCACAACCTCTTCCCAGAAACCAGCCCCCGCCCAATCAAATCCCTCTCAGTCATGTACACAAGCCCCCCCCTCCCCGGAAAACCCAACGAGTTCATCGTCTGGACCGACACCACCCCAACTCAACCCAGAAAAATGCACCCCTTCCAGCGGTACTCCGCCCTCTCCTACGTCTGGGGTGACCCGTCAGACCCAGTCTACATAAATCTAGACGGGAGACAAGTCCCAATCACGAGGAACTTATACGCTGCTTTGAGGGCGGTGAGGAAGTTGCAAGCGGGGAAAAGGTTGTGGGTTGACGCGTTGTGTATTGACCAAAGTGATTGCGAGGAGAAGAGGGTGCAGATTGGGTTGATGAGGAGGGTTTATGAGCAGGCGAAGAGGGTGGTTGCGTTTGTGCCGCTAGAAAAGGGGGATGGGGGGAGGGTGGTGGAGTTGGTGGGGAGGGTTTGCAGGGCGGAGAGGTTGTTGAGGGCGGAGATGGAGGGGGGGGATAGTCAGTATGATGAGGATGATGAGGATGACGAGGATGGTGAGGATGGTGAGGATGGCGAGGACCATACTTTTAAGGTCGTTCCCCAAACAGACGACCTGGAACTGCAACTCCAACAACTCGGCCTTGCCGACCCAGGCCCTACCAAGTTCCTTGAAAAATTTGGACTGCCGACCGTCGATAGTCCTCTCTGGGTGTCATGGCGCCGGTTTTTTGCATCTCCGTACTTTCAGAGGATTTGGATTCTGCAAGAGTTCCTCTCCGCCAAGAAGGTCAGGTTCCATTTTGGGGATGCGCGTTTGGATGCAAGTGCTGTTATCGTTGCATGCTACGCTATCAAGGAGTATAGCGAAGTTGACAATCGCGCATACATGCAGCGTCGAGGGGAGGAATTGGCTGACAGTGGTCAGCCCCACAGAGGGCTGAAGCGGGCCTGGCTGATGTTTGAGAAGAGGGTGATATGGAAGAAGTGCCCGGCTGCTTTGGCCGAGCTCATCGTTCTGGCCGGCCAATTCTTCATGGCGACAGATCTCCGCGATAAGGTGTATGCGTTGATCGGATTGGCAAAAGATGGGCAAGAGTATATGGGACATGTTAGCTACGAGCCGAGTGAGACCCATATCAAGGTCTTCACGAGGTTTGCCCGCTTGTTGATTGAGAATGGGTACGCTGAAGAACTGCTTCGCTGCTCTGGGATATCTGGTTCTGCGGACCGGGATCCTGAATTGCCCACATGGGTTCCGGTGAGAGACATCATATATATCTTGCATATTGTGCTTTGCTGGGTTGAAGCTGACCACAATCCAACAGAACTGGGCCGACACATCGCCTTCAGTTAACCCAGGAGCACGCATGGTCTTCACAGCTCAAGCAGGACCTGCAAGAACAGCCAGTATGCGTGTCCTCGACGATACCAAACTCTGTGCACGAGGTGTTGTAGTGGATACGATCAAAGCAACCAGCAAGCGAATGTTTCCAGTTTCCCCTTCACAGGACTGGATGGACTGGATTGTCGCTACTGTCAAGGCAACCATTATGATTAGGGATACTTTGCCAGAAGTAAATCCAATGGAAATAATTTTTGAGCTGTTCATTTGGAAAAGGTCGCTGGCTTTCGACACGGACGACTTGCCGCGTCTGAAGAAGGGCTTCGAGGCGTTCCTCGGCCAACTCTCTTCCCTCTCCAGAGCGTTGCCCATGAGGGATAAGCTGAAGGGAGGAGAGACAGTTATTATGCCGCGTCTGGAGCCGCTTCGGGCATTCTTCTTCTTCAAGGACAGATCGAACAGGGCGACAGCGGGGACGCGGTTTTGCATAACTGAAGAAAGGTTTTGTGGGGTAGCCCCCGAGAAGGTTATTGTTGGTGATCAAGTGGTCGTGCTGGATGGCAATGCTACTGCGTTGATCGTCCGGGACAGTGGGAAAGGCGATGGAAGTTATGTGCTAGTTGGGGGCGCATATTTTCATGGGCTTGGCGAGCTTGACAGACTAAGCACTGAGCCATCGCGAGATATCGTCCTAGTCTAGCTGATAATCGGTCCTGGATCTTCATGATTGCTCCTTGGCCACCTCTCGCGCACCACCTGGAGGCGAAGGCTTAGCAGTAGGGGGTGGCAGGACATACGGTACACATTCCCCCGCGATCGAACCCTTTGCATAGTCGTAGTATGACTCCTTCTCTAGCTCCAACTTGCGAACTCCCGCCTCCTCAAGCCATCGCTTCAGCGTTCGGACACACCTCAGTTCAATCCTCTTGAAGTAAATGCCAACAGTTTCGCGCTCCCAACGCTTCGCCTCAGCCTCATCAGCCTCGAGCTCTCGCTGTCCCTTCTTGACTTGCACACCCATGGACAGACCTGCTAGCTGTTTTTGGTTCAGGCAGAACGCTACTGTCAATGTGACGCATTCAATGATACGGAAGGGCATGTACAGAATCCTGGACTTGGATTTGAAAAGGATTCCGGCCGGGTAAACATGGATGTTGCCTAAGGTAGTTCTGTCAGTCATATCACTCGTCGTCTGACACAACAAGAAATCATCATACCACAGGGCTTCCCCTTTAGCTCCGGAGCAGAACTCAACGTAGCCTGAACATCCGCCCTCAAAGACTTGGTAAACTCATCAATCAAGTCCACCTTCTGCACCCTCTTCCGGTACGGCTCCAAGGCCTCATTCAGCGCCTCCCCCAGAACATCCACACACAACAAAGCATTGAGCACCTTCTTATCTTTACTCGCCTCCTCAACAGTCTTCGCCGCCCTCCCACCTAGCCTCAAGTTGGCCTTCTCCCTCCCCATCAAGTTGCCCGTCCAACTAAACGAGACAATCTCGGGAAGAGACCACCTTAATGGCTGTGCCCCAACCGCCTGCGATGGAACGATGAGAATATTCCATGCTTCTCTCTGTATGGCTTTACCACGTGTGATGATGATGTCCTCTGTGCACCTCGTCAACATCTCACCAAACAAGACAAACGGCATAGTGAAAAGAACATACCAACATGCCTCAGCGGAAACAAAAATACATCCTGCGCCTGTCCCAACTCCCCCATCATCTCTTCCTCTCCAGGCCGGACCCCCTCCGGCAAGGCCCTCAGCCTAACCGCACCACCAAGCGGTTGGTCAGGTGCCGCAGCGATAATCTCGACCATCATCTGCCCTTGGATGGGTGCTTGCGAGGCAACATATCCCGTTGTTCCCAACAACAGCTCACCAGATGTTATCCCCTTGAACTCGGACAGGGGAGCACCCTGAAAATACTGCCTCTGCCATTCTCTCGAGAGATCGCCAGGTGTTTTGGCGCGTTTGGGGGTTGCTTTTGGTTGCGTGGAGGAAGGAGGTGTCTTTCTTTTTGTGTTGGTTGACTCGGTTTCTGCTGGCTTTGGGTCTGGTTCTGGTTCCGCGGTGGTGGGGGCGACGGTGGGTGCTGTTGGTGCTGTTGGTGCTGTTGGTGGTGGTGGTGGTGGTGCTGCAGGTGCTGCAGGATCTGCTGCTGGTGTAACCGCAGGAGGGGTTGCATTCGGCTCCGACTTCAGCTCACATTTCGGCTCCCAGGCCGGCGTTTCATCAACGGGATTGATAAGATTAGCGATATTCATTGTCTCTGTTCTTTGGGCATGATTCCGAAACATTCAAGAGTGGAACTCACGACGCGCTCAAAACGCGTCTTCCACTTCTCTCCGCTAGCGTCAACTCCACCGCTCGTGAGGCAGGGGTCAGAGAGCTTCATCACAAATAACCCCAACCCTCAACTTGAACACCTCCACCTCTACCCTCCCCGCGTTCTTGATATTCCATACTTGAGTTTCTCACCGCTCGCTGGCACTTCCACGAGGCCCTCAACAATCTTGATCTTGAACTGCAAGGCTTTGAGAAGACTGTAAATGACCCTGAGGGTGGGTGTTTCGACACCTGCCTTTTCGGCTTCGCGGACTGGCTCTCCGATGATGTTCTCCACCTCAATGTGCTTGCCTTTGTCAATATCTTGCAACATGCTCGGTCGGAAGAAGGCCTTGTAGTTGTCCTGGCGTATGACTGTCTCGATTAGGTCATCCGTGAGGTGAACCCCAGATACTTGCCGGGCAGTGGCTTGGATTTCCTTCATGGCCGGCCGCACCAAGTCGTCGATGATGAACTCTGAGGCACGCATGCGGGATGTGTCCATGCCCAGGATGGCAGCAATTGTGTTGTAAGAGGCGTTGTAAAGCAGCTTCCTCCATCTTGCCTTTTCCACGCTACGTTCATAGATGCAGGTCACGTTCGGACATGATCCATAAATTTCTTGAAAATTCATGGCCGCATCCTCGGATAGCTTGCATGGGATATTGTCATTGCGGAAAGGGCTGATGATGAGTTCGTCGTGGTTGACATGGTTAATTGTGCCTGGGGGGCTCTCGATGGCACCGATGTAAGGGACTCCAGATATGACCGGGTTGTAGGGAAAAGCGTCGACAATAGGGCGCTCGATGTTGAGACCGTTCTGGAGGAGGACAATTGCTGTCGTGTCTGATATGACATCGCGGTCGATGAGAGAGGCTACGCCGGGTGTGAAATCGGCAAGGTTCTTGGTAGCGACGACGATGAAGTCGTATGGCTGAGAGGCATTATCGCTGCAATGTCTCTCATCTTTGGCGTTTCGGACTGCGTTTGCTGGTTAGCAAGGCTCTGCATGTTCCGTGGGGGCCATGCAACTCACTGTGAGTAGGACTCCAGCTTATGTCAAGGCCGTGGTCGATGGAGTTGATCTTGAATCCCGATTCCGTGACGGCCTTAAAGTTGGAACGCAAGACTGTCGTCACCTCTGCCATGCCGCCCTTTTCGAGTGCGTATGCTGCCATTGTTCCCACGCCGCCAGATCCAAAGACGAGGACCCTCGCCTTACGGCCTTTGATTGGTATAAAGCTCATTCTGCGACAAAGTTGAAGGTGGAAGATGGGGTGGTTTGATGCTTTGGAGTGCTTGTTGGCAAACGAGAGAGGAGAGGGAGAGGTAAAGAGACGTGGAAATCCCTTTTGCTGTTGCAATTAGCGCCTGTTTGCCGGATGCTCTTTCCATCCCAGCAACCAGGCACCTGGCACTCAGAGAGAGTCCGACATGGCAGTTGCTGATGGCCCGGATAGGTGTGTGCGTTGCTCTTGCTGACCCCCACGCACGCGTTTGCCGGGACCAAAGCCGTTACCTCCTCCGAGACCCCCGAGAGCCATTCAGAGGCCAGCATGTTTGACCGGTTCTCACTGGACCGGGGCGACACATGTGCCTATGGGGCACGGCGCATCCCACGAGCTGGCCACCTGAAGCGGCAGCCGACCCGACCGCCTGGAACCACTCAACTTTCGTCTGCCTTATCGTTGCTAGCAGCATGCTCCCGATGTCGACCGTAAATCCAATTTCGCCTCTTCTTCTTATCAAAGGCAAACCGTGTTTTCCGTGATCGACGACAAGCACAACAGGTTACACCAATGCAGGTCTACCCCGATATTTCTTGCTATCGGGACCACAACGATAGGGAATCTCCGCGGGGGTCGGCATGTTTGTCATGGTCTGATTCAGACATCCAACTTCGCGGTGAGCAAGGTGAGACGCACTCTTGGCCATGTGTGGCATTCCACCAGGGCCAATGATGTGCTCTCGCCGACCACCTCTACCACAAGACTGGTCAATACTTGAATATCTATATGTGTCAAAGCTTTCTGTGTTCCTGCACTAGGCTGTACGTGTTTGATGCTTCCAGAAGATCCACGTCGCCTAGCATTGATTATGGATGCTGATGTTTTTCAGGATACAGAATCCTAACCTGGTTTGGCCTTTCAAACCTCGAACGCAGTCATTCTATTTCTATCAGCCAGGCCGACCATACCACTGACCGAATCCTTTAGTACTCAACAAGACAACAGCTAGCGGACGCCTCCCACTACACTTGAACTCCTGAGCATTCCAATTTCTCGACATCTCGACGTCAGCGGAATGAATGAGTCTCGACAAGAAATTACTCATCAGAATGGCCATGCCAAAGCTGACTATGTCTTGGCAGAATGTGTGCCGGCAGATAGGTGGATGAATCTGGGGACAAAATGAAATCCCGAACCTGGCTGGCTGGGGACCGCGGAGGGGACGTCTCCGATAGGGCAAGATGATCAACCAAGGCCAGCTGGTGACGAGATGTCATCCAGTAATTTTGCTGAGCTTGCAATCGAAGATGACGACCCTATATTGCTATATTGGCCAAGCAGGCTAGGAGATGTCCATGACCAGATGCGTCTTCAAAGCTTCAGCACCGGCTTACCCTGGGCAAGGGAGCGCTGGATGCTAAAGGGGTATTTAAAACCCCTCTGATCTCGCAAACATACTCTCGCCAGTCCAGCCCAAGAACTAGGAGACTATTTCTGCATCAGTCGTTGCCGTGATGAAGCTCATCTCTGTTGTTGCTCTGGCCTCCTTGGCCAAGGCTCATAGCATCTTCCAGGTACGGACGATCACACCATTTCCCCAAATCCCTTTCTCCGTCGCCTTGACTGACTGATCTCCACTTTTCAACAACAGAAAGTCTCCGTCAACGGCGTCGAACACCCGCAACTCCACGGTCTCCGCGCTCCCTCTCAGCCCAACCCCGTCACCAACGTCAACGACGCCCAGCTAGCCTGTGGTATCCGAGGCACGCAGTCCAACCAAGTAATCTCTGTCAAGGCCGGTGACAGAATTGGCGCGTGGTGGGGCCATGTCATCGGTGGTGCTCAATGGCCCAACGATCCTGATCACCCCATTGCCTCCTCCCACAAAGGGCCCATCTCAACCTACATGGCCAAGGTCGACAACGCGGCCACAGCATCTCCCAACAACCTCAAGTGGTTCAAGATTTCTGAGGAGGGCCTCAACACTCAGACTGGAAAATGGGGCGTGGACACCATGATCGCCAACAAGGGCTGGTCCTACGCCACGATCCCTACCTGCCTGGCACCGGGCCACTATCTACTGCGGCAGGAGCTGTTGGCCTTGCACTCTGCGTACAGCAACATGGGGGCTCAGTTTTATCAATCATGTGCTCAGCTCAGTGTGTCGGGCAGCGGGAGTCATGTCCCGAGTGAGACTGTTAGTATTCCGGGTGCGTACAAGCAGAATGATCCGGGGATTTTGCTGCAGATTTGGGTGGCTAGTGTGCCGGATAATGGGAGGAAGCCGTATCCTATTCCTGGACCGAGGCCGATGACCTGCCCTGCTTAACGTGTAGGAGGTTTTGGAAAAGGTCTGTTGTTGAGGTTGGCAACGCGGACCGACAGCCAGCAGAGCTATCACATCACAGTTTGCCATATTACTTTGCTATTTCTACAGTAGCCCCTTATCAACATCACGACAGGGTGCTACTCTCCGCGTTGTACAGCATTCTTGGCAAGCAGAATGGATCACGGATGTCTTCTTTCCTTTCAAAGCTTCATGCTTCGATATGGCACAGCTTTTGCTCAGCACAATTCTGTTGGCGGTGTGATCTCCACCACCCGACCTTCAACGATTTATTTCTACAGGCTTCAAATCATTGTTACCTACTTAGATATCATTCTATTTATTTTCGTTATCATGATCTCTCTCAACACCCAGATTATATGCTTGAAGATCGGCAAGGCTGCCTTTAAAGAAGGTAGCAGCTCTCAGGGGGAAAAGGAATCCACGCCGTTCGGTACCAACGCCCTCAATCTCCAAGCTCCCGCAGCGGGATCCTTCACTGTGACAGAGGGCTATATGAAGCCGGTCACCTCAACATGGCCCGCGCGGGGGAAACGTGCCGATGCTTTTGATTTGAGATACGCGCGGTCGCTACAGGAGCCGGGTAGATGCATATGCGAAAATAGGGCGGGTTGGCCCGCTCAAAAGTGGCGGCAAGCGAGCATCAGGGTATCAAGCAAGGTTGATGTGATCAATTGGGAGGGTCTTGACAATCTGGACCGAGGATGATGGGGATCGTGGGATGCAGCTTTTAGGAACTGTATCCTGGAATGAAACTGGAGGGCTGGCACCTTCCTTATATGCCGCCCATTATGTGAAAGAGATCGTAATATGGAACGGTTGAGAGCTTGGGGTAGGTTCTTGTGGGACGCAAGCTTGCAGACTGCGGAGATGGAGCGCGGTTTTGGACCCCGAGGCTCAGTGGCCTCTTTCACGGAGACTGCGGGCGCAGGTCTTTGCTATTGTTGGTGATCTCGGGCACTGAGACAGTCACATACTAAACTGCATACACACGGCACTGACCTACCTAAGGTGTACAATTCAAGGACGACATCTCCAACCTTGATCTCGACACGATAATCGATGGGCACATCACCAATTTCATCGACCGAATTGCCCCAACTTGAAACGTCTTCATCTTCCCTCTTCACAGTGCACATTTTGTTTCCTGCAGGTACGCGGCGGCGATGCACAGGCTCGCGTGCTGTTGTGGGCGGCACAGCAGACCATCGCAGGGATAAAGGTGTGGAAGATTGACGGACAAGCTCATTCGGCTGATCTGGTTGCTCCTAAATATGGCTCTTTTCACCTGGGTTATGGAGATTACTCCGACCATCATATGCCATCAATTAAGCTTCTTACTGATTTGCGTCAAACCCTGGTTAACTCCGATGTCATGTTCTTCCGGAGACACGGACGAGTCTAAACGGCAGCCTGCCCGGCTTTCAGAGCTGAGATTCTGTGCCACGGAGGCGAAAGCTCTTGGGGCCAACAGCTCGGAGTGTCTGGGTTTCTGTACGAAGTGGACATGATTCGAGGTGAAGTGCTCAGGTGTTGCGTGTGTAAGGTGGCACAAGAGACGATCACTTCCCCCTATGCTACCTTTTCCTCTCGAGGGTCTTTGGGGTCGATTACATGATTACCTAGGTACCCTTGAGCGGAATAAGGCAAACATGGTAACCTCTTTTTAATAACGATCCTTGTTGGTTCTGGCCGTGGATTGTGATTAGACTTGCAGATTGGCCACTGCAAGGGTTTCCTGATTTTCTCGTGGCATTCTTGTCCGTGTAGAGTAGCCGTGCCGCAACAAAACACATCTTGCACAACATTGAAACATCGAAACATTGAAACACCCACACTTTAGCCCTCACAACTTGGTGTCTGTGTGCACTGGCCAGTACGATGACTGCGCCGTTGCAATCCTCTCCGCCGCCACCCTTCGCCCACCCCAGAAATCCTTCCGTAAATAACTCATTTCAATCTCTGTATTCCCACCGCGATTGTCTTTTCCATTTTTCATTTTTTGTTTTGTTTTTGAGTTGCTGACTTCTGAATACTCGACTGCAAGCGAAGAAAAAAGGTGGATCTACATGAGACGACTGGAATCGACTGTGACCAGCAACCAGCACGTCGATGACAACAAAAACAACCAAAATGTCATCGCATAAACCGATATGGCTGGCCAATACACTAGCCCTGCTGCTGGTCAGCGGCCGCATTGATGGAGTGCGAGCGCAGGAACCAACATGCTACGACACGTGGGGAAACAGAGACACGAACCAAGTGCCGTGTTATGGGCCAGGATCAACACCAGATACGAAAACGACAACCCACTGCTGCAACAAGAACGACTACTGCTTATCCAACGGACTATGTATGAGCCCACAAGCCAACAACCTCATGACACAGCAAGGCTGCACAGATAAAGACTGGAACGACTCATCATGCAACCGGCTCTGCCAACCAGAAAAACGTGACCCCTCCCCCCCTCTGTCTCAACTACTAGCACAATCTCACTAACATCACCACAGGAAACAACCTCCTCCCATCAATACCCCTAATCCCCTGCCCCTCAACCCTCAACTCCTCCTCCGGCCTCCAGTTCTGCTGCGGCAACACCCCCTCCGAAGCAGTCACATGCTGTTCATCATCATCATCCAGCTCCCCCTTCCCCATCCGCCCCGGCGCCCTCCTCCTCCCCTCATCACCCTCCCCCTCCGACACCACCTCCACCTCGTCAGAAACCCTCAAAATAGGCCTCGGCATCGGCCTCGGAATCGGCATCCCCGCTAATAGCGTGGTCCTA